TCCTCGCGTACAGTCCCTCAGCATGTTCGCCTCCAGTGACAAAACCAACTTTCAGATGACGGATGTTCGCTCGACCAGCAACATGATGGCGGAGTAGGTCGAATAGTATACCATGGCTTTGCGTGGGGCTAATCTTTGGCGCGTCAACGAAGCCGGCCTCGTCCTTTTGCACAGTTCGCCAGCATGGAATCACCATGATAGTAACGTTGTGGAGTTCTAGTAGTGCGTCCCAGAAATCCGAACGATTTAGCATTGGAAGGTAACGATCGGAGAGCCCGGAAATGTTCAGCGTGTGTACGTGTTCGAACGTGGTCGGGTTGTCGATGATAGAGAGCATGTACGAAGACATGAACGCTCGTTGGGCCCACTCAGTCTCCAATAGCCATTCTTTCTGCGCCTTGGTGAGCTTGGCGGGTATGACAGGGTTCACAAGGTGGGCTCCTTCCGATGGCATTTTACTCGATGAGAACAGAATATCTGTACCTGAAGGTGGTGGGGTTGACACAAAGCGCTCCAGAACATACGGGTCTTCGAAGCTATTAGGAACAGGGAGATCGCCGGGTTCATAAGGAGTAGCAGCATGGAGAAGCTGAGGATCCAAGTAGGGCATCTGTGGTTGCTCATCTGCAAGATTGTTGGCATCCTGAAGCTCGGCAAGAGGGAGTTGACCATCCATCCTGTATAGTGTGGCCAGTCTAACATCGCTACCAGCGTTCTGGTGGCATGCTTCAATGTGATTCCAAAGTTCCTGTTGGGCCTGGGCTCTACGATCTGGGATGGCTTTGGCAGTGCCAAAGACGCGAGATGGCTTTTGCAATACACGTGCTCGAATAGATCTGTCCGGTCCGTTCAGCCATCCTAAACCGCTATCAATGGAAAGCGCCAGTTCCCTGACACTTTTGAGCTCGGAAAATGCTGTTTTCATCCGCGGTGTTTCATCAGCGGCATTTTCGAGTCCAGCGACAGTATCGAAGCGACGATACTCTTCATGTGGCCAGTCGTAGTTACCCCAAAAGCTTGTCTTTTTCTCCGTCAGTGACTTGACGGGCGGCATAGAAAGCGATTCTTCGTTGACTTCAAAGCTCATGCCAAACTTCCTAATGTGTGTACCGAAGCCGCGGAAGACGTCGAGGCCGTGGCCGTTGTACACTTCATCGCCGTTTGCGTTCTTCCATAAGTAGCTGGGTTGCTCGATTCGTGCGCGCTTTTTGCCCTTGAAGTCAGGCTTGTGCTCTTGTGCTAGCATGCCGTAGATCTCGGTATTAAAGGGAACAACCACTGTCCGGAAGATGACCTGCGAGACCGATTTGTTCATCTCGCGGCTTACAAGACGCAGTGATTTTATGTCGTCGCGGTTGAGGTGTTCCGCGATCATCTCTACAAGCTCAACCGGCAGCTTCCATTTCGGGCGCCCAACCGAAGGACTAGGAAGAGTGTCATGCGACGCCTCATTCCTTGCAGTCTTTACTGCCTTCTTTCCACTTTTCTTGGAGGGGGGATGCTTTGGATCCTGATCAGATGCGAGCAGTTTGCTCTTGTCGAGCAGATAGTACTTGGCGGGTAGTTTTGTGGAACTGCGGCATTCGGGCCAAATATCGTTCGCTTGAGGGTTGGGGCTGATGCTGTTGTATAGCATGGCACTGATGGCACCCCTGAAGTTCAGGACGTGTGCGATGGCCTTTTCTTCTGGGCCCTCATAGCTATCGCGCGAGCGCTTCGAAGGGCCGGGCATGATGTGGTGATGTGAGTAGTTGAAGGGACGGTGGAGATTGTTCGCGGGTGACGAGGGGCCTCCAAAGGGAGCTGGTGCACCAACTGGAATTCGGTCTGCTTCGTCGTCCCAGTCGCCGTCGGTGAAGTGAACGCGCCGGGAGTGGGCACCGGAATCACTTTCACTGTGATCGTATATGCCCGAATCGCCCAAGTCCTCTTCTCCAAACCTCTCGGCGTCTTCCAACAGGTCCAAGTGCAAGGCAATCGCAAGCTCGTGGTCGTACGGATCTTCTGACATTGAGCCTCCGCCTTCGCCTTCACCTTCTGGTGCTTGAGGGGTTGGGTTGTACAGCCTGTGAGCGAAAGGAGGTTGTCTTCGCCGTCCACGTGGGGCGAAGCTGTATCTGTATGGGCGGCCGCGTGACGAGGAGCCTCGGTAGGATGTCGCTCCTGGGTTTGCGAAGTATTGATGAATGAGAGGCTGGTAGATATTGGGCGGGTTGTTCGCGGCTTCGGGACGTGGGGAGGGCGTAGGGCTAGCAAAGAGGGTCGCGGGCTGTTGCATGTCAGCGTATGGCAGGAGCGAAGGGGTAATGATGGCCTCATGCCTGCCAAAAGCAGATGTTGCTGTCGGCATGCACGTGCGGCGTGCCGTAACGGTGGAAGGTGCGTATGAGGTTTGCCGTACCTGGGCAGGAGCGTTTATTTGGGTTCCGCTACTCTCACCTTCCGTATCCTGGGGCGCGGCTTCGTTCGAGCGCAATGCCCACCATGGCGTCAGCCTTTGGGTGATACTGCGCCTTCCTTCGTTGTTCGCCATGATCTCGTGATGGAGCCAGACCGCTTCTTGGCCGATCTACAACGTCTTGGGACTCCAGATAGCTTCCGAAGGGCACGCGGTACAGCGGTAATGCAACGCTGCGCCCATTGAGCCGCGACGGCAGGCTGTTTGGAACCGGCGGATATTTCTGTACCTGAGTGTCTATTAGTGAGATGACATAAAGAGATCAGTATGCATGTCGCGATGAGAGTGAGGTTCGGCACGGCGGCATGCGGTGGTGTTGCATGCTTCAATCACAAGCCCAAGCCCAAGAAGTTGTTTGTGCTGGAGCCGCAAACGCGCCCCGCCGAGCCCATGCACGATGTCATCCCGCTCTGCGAACCATCCCCAGGTCTCCGCATTTGCGCCACGGCCGACATTACCCCTGGCAGCAAGATCCTCTCTCAGTACTTCTAATGCTATAGCATCTTTACCGCTTGTATCTCTTCTCAGTGTCGCGGCGTGTTGTTCACTGTGAATAACCCTGTCTTCCGCTCCTGCCCTGTGCCTCAGTGGGCGTCGATAGATGCGCACGCCTCGCCATCTATCTGTCAGATGCCAATTATCCCATCAGGGGAATCTGTACCTGAGAAGACTAGGCAATTAGTAGTAAGAAAAAAGAGGAACTGGACTCTGCTCTGATCAGGCGTGCCATCGCCACCCTCACAGACCACGTGCGGAGCGCGGAAATCCGCTCCGCAAGGCTGCAGCATAAACCGCCTGCCCAGCGAGACATACAACCCTCGCGTTCTCAACTACCAATGCCCAGCGCCAATTCGCAATCGATTGAAATCATGCCATCCTCCAATAATGTTTCACCACTTCTTGCCCTGCCGCGCGAGTTGCGCGACGAGATTCTTGGCTACCTGATCCTACCGCAGTACGTCTATACATCGACTTCGATAAAGGACACCCAGCATTTGTACAGATCGCGTCAAATACCCATGGATACCTATATCGATACACGCATCTATCTTCCCTCCCGTCCACCTCCAAACATTGTAGCAACGTGTCGGCAGCTACGAGAAGAGTGTCTAGAGCACCGTCTTCTGCTGTCAAAGGTCACTCCAACAACGCCGGACTCGGAGGAGCAGCCCTTGAGTAATGTCGTGGCTGCGAGGCTCGGAACCGAATTTGCCGAAGAAGCAGAGCGGGCCTGCGACGATGACGCTCTGCGTATTACAGTGGAGGTCCAGCGCCAGCTACGCGGGGCTCACGGTTACTACGTCCCCACGCGCGAAGAGATGTCGCCTCGTTTCCTCGCACTACTTCCAATCATTGGCAGGACTAAGAAGCTTAGGCTGGCTATCTGGCCCGGATACGACTGGTGGAATGGTGGTCCACAGGTGTTCATCGATAAACGCGGGAATGCTCGCGTCAACCCTGGTGAGGCAGCGAAGCCCAATGCTGCCTCAGTTGCCATCAGCCGGATCCTCCAGTACTTCCCTCACATCGAGGAACTTCATGTGGATGTTCTCATGCAGGCATCCGACGGTGGTAGGTGGGACTTGCCAGACAAGAAGTGGGAAAATGTTCAGCCCTGGCTGGATGCACCCGTTACGCCTGCAGTAGGAGAGCCAGTGAGGCAAGTTACTAGGAAGCTAACCGGCTTCTGGAAAACATCAGAACCGGAGCCCTTCTACATTCAGCACGAGATTCGTCAGTCGGGCAATACTTGGAAGGTCGACAGGAAGGGCGATATGGGCACCGTGAGTCGCTTTCGAGCCATACGCATTTGTTCGTCGCTTACAACTCCAGCCGACAATGAAGTCCTTCTGCGATACCGGTAATGAAGCCGATATGGAATTTCTCAGCTCGCTTGTAGTCGAAGAATCGTTCGTCCGAAATGATTAGAAGACATGAAGCTGAGGTCATGTCTGGACCCGCATGAGCGTCGGAAAATTACCGTAGCCCTATTCCCTAGTCCCACCGACGTTATATTGCCCTCATCAAGCATCGGCGAAATGTTTCAGGCGCACGGAATGACTTGTGGGGAAGCTTGACTTGACAGACAGGGATCCATGCGCGCGGAGCATTCCCGACGCATCGCAAAATCGATGCACATCACGAAGAACATCGTCTTTGGAGAACGGGCTGCTGATCAGCTTCTGAGGTTCTTCCGTCAGCTCCATCAATACTAAACTATCAGGCAAATCCACCAATGTGCCAAGTGGCCCTCCCACCTTTCTCAGATGATCGACAAGTCTACGGCCTGACCATGGGACACCCTGGAGAGGAGTAGCGTCTCGTTTGGGCATAGCTTGCTTGACATGTTCATTCCTTCGAAACAACGGGGTCGACTACGAACACAGATACTCCGTGAGCACGTTCTCCTCTTTCTATTTCTTAGCTCGTACGATGTCTGACGTTGTACTTAAACTTGATCTACATCTTCTCAAGTCTACCACCCGCACTCCAAATAACGAATAGACCACTACACTCCTTTCCACTACTATCATCTGTCAATATGAAGTTCAGCGCACTCCTCATCGCCAGCACGGCATCTCTCGCCCTCGCCGTACCTACCGCTACCGTCCAGAAGCGTGCAGACTACTGCGGCCAATGGGACAGCACCGTGACCGGTGACTACACCGTCTACAACAACCTCTGGGGCCAAGCCGACGCCACATCCGGTTCTCAATGCACCGGCGTTGATGGTCTCAGTGGCAAGACCCTCAAGTGGCACACTTCATGGTCCTGGACTGGCGGGTATGTCCTTCTCTCTCTCTGACACCAAACTCATACTAACATCTCCTCCAGCCCCGGACACGTTAAGTCCTACGCAAACGTCGTGACAAAAATTACCCAGAAGGCTCTCTCATCCATCAAATCCCTCCCTTCAGTCTGGAAATGGTCTTACGCCGGCGATGACCTCATCGCAAACGTCTCCTACGACCTGTTCACCTCCTCCAAAGCTGGCGGTGACCCCGAGTACGAGATCATGATCTGGGTCGGTGCTCTCGGAGGCGCTGGTCCCATTTCCGCCACGGGCAGCCCCATTGCTACCGTGACCCTGGCTGGCAACAGCTGGAAGTTGTACAACGGCAAGAACGGCCAGATGAATGTGTTCAGCTTTGTTGCTGAGAAGCAGATTAACAGCTTCAATGGCGATTTGATGGAGTTTGTCAAGGAGGTTACTGGCAAGCATGGTATGCCCAGCAGCCAGATCTTGACAAGTGTGGGAGCTGGCACTGAGCCTTTCTCTGGTAGCAAGGCGAAGCTCAGTGTTACCGAGTACAGCTTGAGCATGAGCTAGATGCATCCCGCTCTTGGTTTGTTGGAAACCATGTGGATGCACATAGGCACTTCTTCTTGTATATACTTTTGTCTTACTCTGCACATACTTCTCTCGCGCACTGCACATACAATGATCAAAACATTGCTCTGGCTTCTTGCGTTCTATTGTGGTATCTACACTTCTTGCTCGACTTGCAGGATGGTATCGCGGGCCGCTCTTCCTCGTCTCGCTTCTGAGAACCGACGTTCCTGCTCCACGTTACACAAGGCAGCCACCGTTAGCATCGTCTAACCTAACCCGGTGCGCAATGCGACAGCGTCACTGGAGGCCTGACAGGTAAGCTTCAACAAGCCTTAAGAAGCTCCTCAGCCAAGCTGCAGGTGGAGATGAAAGAACCAAACCAGCGCTGATCGTCAACCTCGTCCTGCAATACTACATCAAAGGGTAACAAAAACATGGCACCAGAAATCGCAATCATTGGCGCAGGCCCCGGCGGCTGCATGCTCGCACGCCTGTTACTCGCCCAAAGTGACTGCAGCACCACCATCTTCGAAGCAGAAGCCTCCATCAATTACCGTTCGCAAGGCGGCACCTTGGACTTGCGCGCCAACACAGGTCTCGCTGCAATTAAATCGGCAGGCTTGTGGGACGAGTTCCAAAAGTATGCGCGCTATGATGGCGAGAGTCTGCTTGTCACCGATAAAAACCTCACGACATGGTTGAGAAGAGGTGGACGCAAGACAGCAGACGGGAAGCTGAGCCCAGGAGACGCACCAGAGATCGATCGTACAGATCTGAGGAGAATGCTCATGGAGAGCTTACCTCATGACACCGTTCGCTGGGGCTACAAGCTCTCGCGCGTCGAAGAAAGCAGTTCAGGACTACTTTTGCGTTTTGCGAACGGTGAGGTACTAGACGGCTTTGACTTGATCGTAGGTTGCGACGGCGCTTTCAGCAAGACACGCAACCTCCTGACATCCGAGAAGCCATACTACGCCGGTCTAGGCGGCTGGACAATGTACATCCCCTCCGCCTCAACCGCCGCACCAGACCTCCACAATTTCGTCAACAGAGGCAGCGTCTTCGCCTACTCCGACGGAAAATCCCTCTCCATACAACAACTCTCCGACTCCTCCATCTACGTCGCCTACTACGGTCAGCACCCAGAAGATTTTGCCCAAACATGCGGTTTCGACGCCCAAAACGACGTCGAAGCAGCGAAAGCAGTGTTGAGAAAGGAACTTCACGATTGGTCACCCCAGCTCCTCGACGCAATCGAAAAAGCAGAAACAGGACTCGTATGGAGAAACCTCTACCAACTCCCCGTAGGCTTCACCTGGCCACACAGACCCGGCATCACGCTCCTAGGCGACGCAGCACACGTCATGACGCCGTTTGCGGGAATCGGTGTTAACACGGCGTTTTACGATGCCATGGTTCTTACGGAGCAGATTGTTGCGTACACTTCATGTAGCTCCGCCGGCGGCGAGGGTGTTAATCAGGTGGAGGCGCTGGGACGGTATGTAGAGGGGTATGAGAAGGAGATGTTTAGGCATGCGCATGCTGCGCAGCGGCGTACCGAGGGCGCGAAGAATGCGATGTTTTTTACGCCTGGGGCGCCGAGAACGAGTATTGAGACGTGGGTGCTTTGGCAGGCGGAGGAGCAGGTGCCGGCGTGGGGGAGGGGGGTTGTTAGGGTTGCTGTGTATTTGGGGTATTGGGTTTATAAACTGTTTGTGTAGAAGTTGACTATGCCAGCCCAAAGGTGCATGCTCTTCTTGTTGGTGTTGGCCTTTTCGCACGGGCATATGAGTTATGAAGGAAGGCGCGGTATCACTTCGGAGCATACTGGCTGCCTGCTCCGTAGAGACACCTTGCGGAGCTTTCTACTCCGACCTTCGACACCGCTTCAATGTTCCGCGTCCCAGCCATCACTTATCGAAACTTTACCTCGGTAGACACCAGTTTTTATCGTTTCCGATCTACAGATGCACCTGCTACATTCATCCAAGTCGACCCGGTAAAGTATTGCTGAACCTTTCTCACTTTAGTGCAAGCTACCCGCATCGGCTCGTAGTGACCAATAGCCGCAGAGCACCCAGACATGTGCGTCGCGCCGTACTGCATCTCAACTATAGCCCGGGAACGCAGCAAATCAGAACTGCTGTATTTCTGCTGATGACGACCAACTACTAGGTTGCATCTTCAATTTTCCTACATGCGATGTTCGCCCCGCTACCGTTAATCCCACCATCCCGTGTCAACGCTACCGACATGGCAGCATGGTCCCTCCACGAGCTGTGATTGGGATGTTGCATTCCGTGAACTTCTGTTCCTGCAGGCATGACGCAGTAGAGACGCAGAAACGTTCAGGCGTAGCTCGCCTAGAGTCCTGAAGCTTGAAAATGGCTCAATCTTCTCGAAAGCTACAAAAAGGCCCGGGGAGCCGGTAGCTTTGGGCTGGCAAGTTCGATCGGCGTCCTCCAGCAGCCGTTTGTCAATATGAAGCTTCAATACCTTTCGTTGCTGCCATTGGCATCTATCGCCAGTGCTAGCTGGTCGAAGAACATCAACTACCGCTCGCCTTCGGAGCACCACCCTGCCCTGGGTGTCTCAATCCACAAGGTTGTCAAGAGGAACGACCCAGCAAGCAGCTATGCCGCCTCCAGCTTGAACTTCACCCATGGCGTCGCTTCAGGCGACCCATACCCCAACAGCGTCATCCTCTGGACCCGCGTCGCTCCTCAAAGCGACAACTCGCAGAGCAATGTCACGGTCACCGGCTACGCACCTCTTTTCGACCACGACAACGAGAAGTACGTCCAGGTTTCCAAGGCGCCAGTATGCGTGGAATACAAGGTCTACGACAACAAGAACTGTTCCACGGTCGTCGACTCGGGAAAGGTTTTCACGAGCTCCGATGTAGACTTTACTGTCAAGGTCGAGGCCAAGAACTTGAAGCCGTACACGAATTACTACTACCAGTTCAATGTGTGCGGTTCGGAGAATAAGAGCCCTCTTGGACGTACAAAGACCACGCCAAATACGGACGACGATATCACCGATGTTAGCATCGCTGTGTACAGCTGTGCAAACTACCCATTTGGTTTCTTCAACGCCTATGGAAACACCGTTCGCAAGGTGCGTGCTGAAGATTGGTCATACCTTCTACTAAGCTAATCGTCGAATCAGGACTCTGTTGATTACGTCGTTCATCTCGGTGACTACATCTACGAATACAAGAATGGAGATTACGGCTGGGGCAACTCGCTTGGCCGCATTCCTCAGCCAGACCGTGAAATCTTCACTCTTTACGACTACCGAAAGAGGCTTGCGACGTACCGTACCGACCTTGATCTCATTGCTAGCCACGAGCAATTCCCTTGGATTCCTGTTTGGGACGATCACGAGGTTGCTGACAACACTTACCGTGACGGCATGTCTGAGCTCAATAACACTGAAGACTCTTTTCTCCGCGACGGTGGTGTCTCAGTTGACCAGCGCAAGATGAACGCTGTTCGCGCTTACTTCGAGTGGATGCCCATTCGTCAAGTCGACATGGATGACAACCTCAGAATTTGGCGTTCGTTCTCCATCGGAAAGCTCGTTGACTTGATGATGCTTGACACCCGTCAATATGATCGTTCCATCACGGATCTCTACTGGAACACGGACTACGTTCACGACATCTCAAACGATGCCGGCCGCTCTCTGATGGGCTCCCGTCAAGAGAACTGGTTCTACCGCAGTCTTTCCGAGTCTTCCGAGCGTGGCACAACATGGCGTATCGTCGGATCCCAAATCGTCTTCTCGCGCGTCAACCAATCCGCTGCCTACGGAGAAGACAACCCACTGAACTACGATGCATGGGATGGTTACCAATCGAACAAGAACCGCACGCTTAACCACTTGTACAGCAACAACATCAACAACAACATCTTCCTCGCAGGTGACAGTCACGCCTCATGGGTCAGCGACCTGATCTGGCTCGACGAGAAGGACTACGACTCCAGCACCGGCGCCGGCAGCATCGGTGTCGAGTTCGCCGGCTCAGCAGTCACATCCCCCTGCCCCTACGGCGCGAACATCACGCTCGCAACCGCCAACAACTACTCTTCCATCATCCAGTCCTCCAACGCTGAGCTCCAGTGGCAGGACCTTTACTACCGTGGTTACTTTGAGTTGCACTTCACCCACGACGAGATGACCGCTAACTTCTTCGGCCTGCCGACTGTTGTTACGCGCAACGGCTGGGAGATTCCCATTGCCAACTTTACGGTCAAGAGTGGAGAGAATAGGCTGCAGAGGCCTGTCGCTGGTGGTATGGTAGAGAGTGGAAGTTTGAAGGGTGGAAAGACGGTGCAGACGAACTTGACTATTGATACCAACAACGGTACATGGTTCGTTAGTCAGGCGGATTTGGAGGTTTTGTAGAGTAGCGGATGACTCGGCTCAGTTACCCAGCATCCTAAGCCCGAGCTGAACTTAAAGTACCAAGAAATAGACACATAAACAGACTGCTCGCCGACATATTTTTGATTCCTTGGAGGTGATTACTTGAAACCATAAACAACGCTGGCTGGGCGTTTGACCCGTCGTGCTGCCAGAGATCCGAGCCCGGCTTGACAACTCGGTAGTGCGCGGAAAGTGTGGAGGAAGGCGGAGATCAGGCCGCTATCGGGTGGGTCTTGGCATTTGTCCACTGGTGATGTCATTCTGTCAGCTGGAAGCACCGGGAGCTTCTTCTTCCTGAACATCACAACTAAAGTCTGACAGTTCACCAACCATGCACGGCATTACAGCAGATTGCGATGAAGACCAACATTGATCCACCACATCGGACAACTCAGTGATGGGTGGCATCCTTCCAGGGCACCCACGGCGCTGCAGCCAAGAGTACCTAAGAAGTTCACTAAACTTCTCCGCTGCGGACACCAACGTCAAGATCAATCGAGACCCGAAGGTCTATTTCAATTCTCTGGGGAAACGATAGCGCCTTACGAGTACGTTTGGTCGAC